GTGGCCCCGCCCCCACAGGCAGCCCCAGGAGGCGACTCTGCGTGGTCGGGGGGGGAGGAGCCGAACACCGACTTCAGTGGCTTCTACCAATCGGAGGAGCCCTTTGCTGGCCCCGCCCCCACCATCTATAGCTCCGCCTACCTGAAGGGCGTCTCAGCCCCGCCCCCCGGCCCTGCCCTGACGGGCCCCACCCCCAGCAAGGCCGATGGCCCTGCCCCAGGTGAGTGGCCCCTCCCCCTCAGGTGTGTTCGCAGGTGTGGCCCCGCCCCCACAGGCAGCCCCAGGAGGCGACTCTGCGTGGTCGGGGGGGGAGGAGCCGAACACCGACTTCAGTGGCTTCTACCAATCGGAGGAGCCCTTTGCTGGCCCCGCCCCCACCATCTATGGCTCCGCCTACCTGAAGGGCGGCTCAGCCCCGCCCCCCGGCCCTGCCCTGACGGGCCCCACCCCCAGCAAGGCCGATGGCCCCGCCCCAGGTGAGTGGCCCCGCCCCCTCAGGTGTGTTCCCAGGTGTGTTCCCAGGTGTGGCCCCGCCCCCAGGTGTGGCCCCACCCCCCAGGTGTGGTGGCACCTGCCGAGCGTTTGGCGCCCCCTGCAGGTCCGGAGGAGCCGGCGCAGGACCCCGCGGGGGGAGGGGGCGGCCCCTTCTCCCGCCCCCCCCCCGGCGGCCCCCCCTACCCCTCCCCCGCCGCCGAGACCCCCACGGCGACACCCCCGGGAGCCCCTGGACAGGTGGGTCCCCAAAATCGGGGAGGGGTCCCCAAAAGTGAGGGGGGAGGGAGAGCACCCCAAGAGTGGTGGAGGATGGGTGGGGTGTCCTTAAGAGTGGGGGGTGGGAGAGGAGGGGAGGCCCAACAAAGGGGGGAGGGGTTGAGTTTGGAGGGAACCCCAAAAATTGAGGAAGCTGAGGGTGGGCTGCAAGTGGTGAGGGGAAAGGGAGAGCTTAAAATGGGGGAGGGGGGGAATGGAAATGGGGTGGGGGGACCCCAGAAAAGGGCGGACTCAGGGGGACTTGGGGGTTCAGGGGGGATTTTGGGGGTGGGGAGTAATTTTGGGGTCCTTCACCCCCCTCAGGTCTACTCGGGGCCCCTCAAGGCTGAGACCCCGAATGTGGCCCCCAGTGGGCCCCCCCCGGCCGCCCCCCCCAGCACCGAGCCCTATGGCCAGTACCGTGAGTGGGGGCTGGGGGGCTTTGGGGCGTCTTTAGTGGGGGCCTGGGGAGACCTCGAAAGGACTGTTGGGGGCCTGAGGCCTGGGGAGGGGTCCTGGGAGGGGCTTGGGGGGGTCCTGGGCCGGGCAGTTCCGTGTGCCCCCCTCCCCCCCGTG